TAATCCATTTTTTTCATTATGTGGCGATTGGTTTAGAGTAAGTTATAAATTATCTTCTAATTAATTAATTTCGATTGATTCGAGTTGTAAAATGTTACTTGTATTGTTGCTATCAAATTTATTTTTATCCTAAAATAATAATATATTGCATAGGATGTACGATATATTAGTTTTCTTTTTTTGTGGATTATTTTTTAATCTGAATTAAAAAACGATGAATTTATTCAGGTATTCTGTTTACTAGTTTGATCTATTTAATTTTATTATTCGTCTAGAAACAAATTTTCAAAAAAAAATAAATAAATAAACCCAATTAAAAGTATATAAATTGATTAACTGTTTAGTTTCATTTATTTTCTAAATTTTATCAAAAAAATTAAATTGTTGCTTTATAAATGATTTTCAATTACAAACATAAATGATCATGTTATGTTACGTTTTTTTTTTGTTGATGATTTTGAATTTTATATTTTTCAGGAAATAGAAAGTCGAAGAATGCTATCGAAAATGAAAAAAGAACGAAATAATTTCACTTCAACACTCATTTTTAATCCCTATTATTACTATGCTTCGCATTTTTTTTTCGATTCATTAGTAATACTACGAGAAATGAAATGTTTGGATTTGACATATTTAATGGAACAACGTTTTCGATACACACATATTCGAGATGAATTGGAGGAGGCTGAGTTTGTTGGTGAACTTCGACGAAAATGCGAGAAATGTTTGATGATATCAGATGGTGAACAAAGTAACGAAAGTAAAGAACTGGTGAAATCGGCTGACGAGAATAGTAGTAGAAGTGATGATGAAGCGGAAGATAACATTGAAATGAAAAAACAACAAAAATTTGATAGTACATCAAAAATATCAAATAGTAAAAAGGAAAAATTAAAAGGTCAACCGAAAAAAAGGAAAACAAAGAAGAAGAGGAATAAAAGTATGGATTTGAAAGTTTTGAAGCGTTTTTGGTTTAAACGCGATCAAAGCCCGCCACCAAAAGATGAATTGGAAAAGCATTTGGATGAATTACGAATGCGAACACGTAACGAAATACACACATTAGTATTTCTCAATAGTGCTGCGGTGATTATTTGATTCAATTTTTTGCTATTATAACTGTTTATTTTTTATAACTGATTAATATTAGGTTAATTAATGTATAACTAGGTTAATTAATATATAATTAGCACAAAAATATATAATTAATTAATTAATTAGCATATAATATTATCTTAATTAAAAACAATAAAATTAGGCATGTAATTATTTACGTGTTGTAATGTAAACTGATATAATTCTTCTGTTACGTAACATTTTTCGGTTTTTTTAATGCCATTTAACATGTCAGATGAAATAATTGAAATGATAAGAAAGTAATTTAATTTTGCATAATTGTTTTTGATTGTAATTAAATTCAAATGATATTTGAACCTGTGATATTTTAAAAGCATGATTAATAATCAGTAAAGTATTAGAGATAATAAAAAAAAGTAAAGTTTAAAATAAAAAAGTTAATTGAAAAAATTAATCAATCAATAGGATTATTTGGAATATATATTGTAATCGTTATACAAAATTCATTTTTTTAATCTTCGTTTTTATTTTTTAGAAAGAAGGTAAGATTAAAAAAATGAAAATGTACACGGCATTTTTAAATGAGAAATCACGACGACAATGGAATAAATATATTGAAAAGCTTGACAAAGAAATTAACATTCTCCCGGACGAGTCAACGGAATATAATAATAATGGTGTAAATTTTTCAGTTATTTTCTAATCATTTTGAATTCAAATTTGCATTCATTACTAATTTGTTTATTTTTTTAATTATCTCTTATATCTTCCATTTTTCAAACCAGAGAAACAAAAAGTATTGATTGTTAATTTTTTTCCTAAAGTTTTTTTTTTTGAATGAAGTATTTTGTAAATTTGAAAATTTTTGTTTTGTTTTTTTTTTTTTGCAGTTGATGGAGCGTTTGAAAGAAAATCCAGAATTATTGGAAGCGATGGATAAATTCAAAGATGGGAAACATTTGTGTGAAACAATTATGGAACATTCGTATGAAATTGCTAAAAGAATAGAAAGGCAATTCTTCAGTCTCATACCGGGAATTCCTGGTTTGATCACTTATAGAAATGCAATGATTTGCGAAATAGCAAGAGATGAGACAATTATAACTGTCGTACAATAATTCTTATAATTTGATAGCTAACGTTACATACAAAAATTTCTACAGTTTAGTAGCTTATGTTACAATCATTTTTGATACGATCATTTTTCATTACTATATGCG